TTTCAAAGATATTTACGAGAGCAAACAATTCGATTCCATGCGCGAATGGATTCGAGAAGAGCTTAATGCTACCTTTACAAAAGAGCTGCGTATACAATTGAACAATCAACCGGCCGAGACAACTATGGAAGAAACTAAAACTATCTTCTCGCGGAAATTCGCAGCCTCAGAAAAAACGCTCAGTGAGAAACTACAGAAAGAGTTACTCTATAATGGAGTTGCGAATGCTGTTCGGGAACGATCCGAAACTTTTCTCAAGGGTCAAATTAGCAGTATCTTGCATGCTTGGACAGTGTCGGCTTTAATGAATAATGAACGCCAGCGACTAAACAAACTGGTGAAAGAAGATACAGATGAGTTTCATAAACGTATTCAAGCGACCATTGAGGCTATAAGGAAAAAGGAGTGGGATAAACTAAAAACCCTCGTACCGAAAATCGATGATCAATTTCTTAATGCCATTAAACAGAATATTATAAATACTAGTCGACTGAGTGCAGACCACGCTGGAAGTATATTCGACAAAATATGGGATGAAGCTTACCCTCTTACCGCAGCAGGATTCGATCACAAGAAACAAGCTAACTTATGTTTAGGTTTTGTCTATAAAAATTACCACATGTATGAAAAGTCACATCTTCCAGATATGTGGGATTTGATACCATTACTCTGTTGCATTCCACAATCGGTAGAAGCACAGAATGATAATGATATGCAAATATTTGAGAAAATACAGAATGAATGTATTCTAATGATGTCTGATCATCGTCCTTTTGAAGAAATTCCATTTAAATATGATAACACAGCTGTATACACACGAAGGACAATCGAAGATCTCAAATATGTTGACGCCGATACACTCCTTATGGCATGCAATACATATCACCAAAATAGAATGACGGAAATATGGTCGAGAGAATTCCATTTACATTTGAGACAATTTATTCTCAACAAGATTTCTACAAAGTCTTCACACTGCGCACAGTCTGGTATTGGGAAGGAACTATTGCCCGTTAGAAAGAGTTTGGAT